TATATATATATATATATATATATATATATATATATATATATATATATCTCTGCCTCTGGTTCCCAGGTGAGCGGGGGCTGGCGGGTCCCGTCCAGGTTCTCTCCGACCGACTCCTGTCTGAACCGGGGGTTCCTCTCCTGGCCTGTGGGGTTCTGAAAACAGAACCCCCTCAGCCCTCACAGCAACTGGTTTACGTGTTCACAACCAGCCTAGCCAACAGGTCAGAGGTCCCTAAAGACAGTAGAGTTAGACCATACAGTGGGGGAAATAAGTATTTGAGCCCTTGCTGATTTTGCAGGTTTGCCCACTTACAAAGAATGCTTATTTTTCCTCATCAGATGGTTATCAATTTTTCTTGAAATTCATATGATGTGATTTTCTTGAATTTTATTTGGGATTCTGTCTTTCACTGTTAGAATGTACATATGATTAAAGTTATAGATCGTTGCATTCTTTGTAAGTGGGCAAACCTGCAAAATCAGCAAGGGGTCAAATACTTATTTCCCCCACTGCATGTGAAATGTAGTGTTTTCTTTATGATTGAGAGGTTTAAGTGGTTTTAATTGGTGTATTTGTTCCTTTGACAGCGCGGCGGAGGCAGTAATCAAAGGCCAGACCGATTCCATCCTTCTTTTTCACCAGCAAAACGTTCCACACTCCAAGTTGGAGCAGGTCTGACATAAATACTCTTTTTTAATTTATTTATTTATTTTTATGTATTTAATTGAATAGGGACAAAGCAAATTAACTCATTGACTGGCAGCCATTTTCAGAACAGAGTCCCATACTGTCAGAGTTTTTTGAGCATTTTGACAGATTTTTCTAGAGCCACAGAATAGTTTGTGCTATGACTATGTAAACACCGAACACACCAAAAGAAAGAGTAGACTCTCTTCTTTCATCAGGAAAAAAAATGTGTTTCTACCTTATTCCGTTCTTCCTGGACTTGCGTCTCACCGGCGACATGTTCTCTCATAGAACCGTTCCCTTTTTCTTATTTGCCTACAGTCTATGCTCATCTCCCATCAAAAGTGGCACTGCCCCCTAGAGGCTCAATTTGTTACTACATACTCTGTCTAGAAGCCCATATTTACGGACAAGCTTTAGCAGATCGTCCCCCAGACACTCTCGTTAAAAACATGAAAGACCTCTATAGACGTCTGTGGCAGCCAATGAGTTAATGAAGGAGAAGTATAAAAACAAATGTAAATATGCCGGATTATAGCTACAAAGCTAGTTTTCATCCATAGTCCCTAGGCAGGCAAATACATAAGAAAGAACAAATAATATACAATATAAGCATCACAAGGAAATGTTAAGAGTTTAGTGGTCACATGACTGGTTTGTTTTCATCCATAGTTTGAGTTGAGCTCTAAAGCTGATCATTCTTTTTTTACTTGTTGGCTAAACCCGTCATACTAAACAGGAATAACAGTGTTTTTCCACTATAAAGACCACAGGTGCAAAGTGTGTGGGAGGGTGATTTGTTTAGCTATTTTTAGACCACCTACCCATTGTTCCTGTTTCTTTTCTTTCTCTTACATCTGCCTAGAATGATACAGAATAAGCTCAGACATTATGTTTTTTAGCTAATTCAATTTAGGTTTGTCCCGATCCGATATTTGGATCTGATTGACCGCCGATATTTCCAAAAAAATGCGTATTGGCAGGCAGGAGAAAACACAGATCCAGACTCCAGATCCAGTTTTTTTTCTAACCCCGATCCCACACGAGCATTAGCATTAGCATCTGTAACCCACAGGTCTGTGTCCTAGCCATTAAGTTGTTATCAGAGTAAATCCCTGTTAAACATGAGTCTGACAACTAAGTAAGTAGATAAATAACTTTAGACTTTAACACATGCTCTGATAGGCCGGGATCGGTGTCAAAAAGCTGGATCGGGACAATCCTAATTCAATTATAAGAGACTTAAACTAAGACATGTTTTTGTTTTCTTCGGGTCAGACAACAATAATCCACAAGAGTGTATTTTTACCTTGTTTACATGTTTCGGCTGCTAGCTGCAAGCCGCCCCCTGACCCGAATAAAACAAAAACATGTCTAACACCGTTGAAGACAAGAATAACTTAATACGAGTGAGACTTAACCCTTGTGTGGTGTTCATATTGTTGTTACTCAGCCAGTGATTGTGGGTCTGACGGACCCGTTGCATTTTGTGGCTTTTAATGCCTCAAAATCACTTTTATATTGAAACACTTTTATATTAAAATACTGAACAGATGTTTACCGTATCTTAACTTCTCTCTCTCATCCTAAATCAATTCCAGGGCCCTCTGGGCAGAGTACCCTTTGGCCATTTTGATCGGTTATAAGAAACCACTCTGGCTAAGCCCAGTTTTTAGCAGATAGACAGAAAATTAGAGCAGACAAACAATGTGTGGGAACTGTTTCTTTTGTGTTTGTGCACCTACAGTTCCCACACAAGGTTGTGAGTGTGTGTGTGTGGTTCACAGAACATTAATTTCCACACTTCTTTTAGCCCCGGGTCCAGTGGACCCGAACATCTTATATGTAATAGAAATGTGTACGGTGTGTGGTCATTAAATATGAATTCTGATATATGTTCTTGACAGAAAATGAGCCAAAGCCAGTGAGTCTCAGTTTGAAAAATTAATTCATTGTATCATTTTTCTTTTAGTAAAAAATGAAAACAGGTCCCACAGACCCTAAACACCACACAAGGGTTAAACTAAGCGTAGTAGTGGTGTGTTAACAACCCCTGATCTTCCCTTTCCGTAGGGCGCCCCTAAGCTTCCCGGCCTGTCTGAGAAGCAGAACTCCAGCAGCTCCCCGCCCACAGGAACCCCTAAATCCCAGAGCGGGACCCCTCGCCCGGCCTCTGCTGGAGTGGGGGGGGGGCACTCCGATACCGACTCCCCTCAGACCAGGGGAGCCCCCGGAGGGACCACGCCCGGAGGCCTTGATCCCGGAAACGGGGATCCCCCCGGGGGAGGCCCTCCCCTCCCGGTGGGTACCACCTCCCCATCGGGGAGCCCCTCCATCCTGTCGGCGCACCTCCAGGGGGACGGCCTCCAGAGGAGCGGCCCCCCCAGCACAGACGGCCTTTCCAGGGAGCAGCTCGAGCACAGAGAGAGATCTTTGCAGACCCTGAGGGACATAGAGAGACTCTTTCTACGTACCGGAGCAGGGGGAGGAACCCCTGGAGATCCCGGAGTATCCAACAACCCTAACCTTAACAACCCTAACAACCCAAACAACATGAATACAAACAGCAATCCTGACCGGGGTGCTATCGAGGACACCGGGTCTGGGAATTGCGTTAGCGGTAGCATGCTATCCTCGGCCTTGACTTCTGTCGGGGGGATGAAGAAGTACGAAGAGCCCCTCCAGTCCATCATCTCCCAGACGCGCTCCCTTGGAGGAGCAGCCCTTGATAGCCCTGAAATGGAGTCCCATCACCACCAAAGCTTACAGCAACACCCCCATCACCAGATGTCTTCCCCCGGGGAGGACATGGGCCCCTTGATCGGTCCGGAGGGGCTCACCCGGGAGCAGATGGCCTGGAGGAAGCTCCAGGAGGAGTACTACCAGGAGAAGAGGCGGCAGCAGGAGATGCAGCCCCCTGCACACCCCCAGCACTTTAGGATGATGACGGAGGTGGGAATGCACGGAGGAGGCCCCGTCATGATGAGGGGACCCCCGCCTCCCTACCACAGCAAACCCGGAGAGCAGCACTGGAATCCCGCCGGTATGATGGGAGGCGGAATGGGTGGGAACGGGAGGATTATGGACATGAACCAAGATGGACCCCGGGGCCCAAGGTTCATGGGACAGATGCCTAGAGGGCAGCCTGGAGGAGGAGCCTATCCCTGTAGTCCGGGAGGGGGTCTACCTATCGAAAGTATAGGGCCCCAAAGGCCCAACCGACCTGGGATGATCTGGTTGGAGGATATGCCCAACAACATCGGAGGGGGTCAGTTCCACGGATGCTACACGGGTGGGAATCCGCAGGTTCTCCAGGGAGACCCGGAGCTCCTCACCAGGGAGGAGATGTTCCGGATCATGGAGAAGAGGCACATGCAGGGAGTCTCCCGGTTTGAGTTGGACCGGTTAGCCAAACAGCATCAGCAGCAACAGGGAAACGCGGGGGCCAGAATCATGGACGGCCTCGGGGGGCCGGACTTTCCCAACTTGGCCATGCGGGGTCCGCACCCCGGCCGAGGGGATCCGATGGACTTTCCCAGTTCACGGGAGATAATTTGCTCTCCTGGGCCGGGTCCTCAGATGGATTCGCCTCTAGGGGGCGGAGTCACGATGGGAATGAACCCTCAGATGAACCTTCAACAGCAGCAGATGATGCTCTCTCAGAGGCTCAGAGGAGGCCACCCCTCGTTAGGGGAGATGTTCGGCCCTGGGGAGATTTCAAGGATGAGCTCTACCCAAAACGGACGAGGAGGAAACAAGGGAATGATCCCAGGACCAGACGGTCCCTTCCAGTTCCCGAATCACGGCCCCTTCCCTGGAAACCAAGCCGGGGGGCCTTACCTCCAACAGCCTGAGATGTTCGGGCCCGATCAGCCCGGTCCAAATCCGATGGGGGGGGGCACCTCCCGGTTGAGTCACATGCCCCTGACTGGAGGCCTTAGAGGAGCAGAGCTTGGTCCAAGGAACCAATCTGAAATCAGTGTGAACCCCCTCAGTTCCCCATCAGGGCCTTCCCCCCACCAGCTCAAGTCCCCGTCCCTGAACCAGAAACCATCTCCTCTCTTACCCTCCCCCTCCGCCCCCGGACTGAAGTCGCCCCTCTCCTCTGCGGGGCACCACCCCCCCCTCCCCCCCGCCTCCGGGGCAGGGACTCCCTGCTCTTCCTCGGTGAAATCCCCGCAGATTTTGGGGTCTTCCGGCCTCGGGTTGCACTCTCCGGCCGCCTCCCCGGGACACCTGAAGTCCCCGGTGATGGCGGTGGGGTCTCCGGGGTGGGCCTCCCCCAAAACGGCTCTGCCCAGTCCGGGGAACGGTCCAGGGGCCGGGAAGATGGTGGGAAATGGAGGAAGTAGCTCCACCGAAACAGGTACACTCCTGCCAAGGCCAAAAATGGTCTAATCTGATTACAACAAATGCTGTAGACTATATTGCCGCTGACTTGTCTCCCGTAGAAGAGGTAGAAGTAGAAGAAGTAGAAGAAATAGAAATAGAAGAGGTAAAAGTAGAAGAGGTAGAAGAAGTAGAAGAAATAGAAGTACAAGAGGTAGAAGTAAAAGAATAAGTAGAAGAGGAAGTAGAAGAAGAAATAGAAGTAGAAGAGGTAGAAGTAGAAGAAGTAGAAGTAGAAGAGGTAGAAGTAGAAAAGGAAGAAGTATAAGTAGAAGAAGTAGAACTAGTAGAAGAAAAGAAGTATAAGAAGCAGCGCGGCTGTTACAAAGAATCCTTATTTTTCCTCATCAGATGGTTATCAATTTTTATAAATTCATTTGATGTGATTTTATGGAATTTTCTTTGGGATTCTGTCTTTCACTGTTAGAATGTACATATGATTAAAGTTATAGATCGTTGCATTCTTTGTAAGTGGGCAAACCTGCAAAATCAGCAAGGGGTCAAATACTTATTTCCCCCACTGTATATACATACCGTATATCCGCAATATAAGGCACCTAAAAGCCGCCAGTGCGCCTTATAATCCGGTGCCCAGATATATTTACCAGGATTGAGTCACCACAGGTCTCACAACTACACGAAGCAGCCGCCGACTCAATTTTCTCCCGTAGAAGAAGTAGAAGAGGTAGAAGGAGAAGAAGTAGAAGAAGAAATTGAAGTAGAAGTGGTAGAAGAAGAGGTAGAAGTAATAGGGGTAGAAGAATAATTAGAAGAAGTACAAGAAATAGAGGTAGAAGTAGAAGAACAACTAGAAGTAGAAGAGGTTGAAGTATAAGTAGAAGAAGAACTAGAAGAAGTAGAAGTAGAAGAAGTAGAAGTAGAAAAAGGAAGAAGTATAAGAAGAAGTATAAGAAGAAGAGGTAAAAGTAGTAGAGGTAGAAGAATTACAAATTACAAAGAATGCAACGATCTATACCTTTAATCATATGTACATTCTCACAGTGAAAGACAGAATCCCAAAGAAAATTCCAGAAAATCACATCATATGAATTTATAAAAATTGATAACCATCTGATGGGGAAAAAATAAGCATTCTTTGTAAGTGGGCAAACCTGCAAAATCAGCAAGGGCTCAAACACTTATTTCCCCCACTGTATATATATATATATGTATATGTATACATATGTATATATATATTTTTTTCCTTCACAGGCCCGTCACTTCCCCCAAGGAGTTCTAACTCGACCCCGGTTCCAGGCTCCATGAACCCCGGTCTGCCCTTCACCTCCTCCCCTGATGGCCCCCCTTCCCAGAATCCTTTGTCCCTGATGATGTCACAGATGTCCAAGTACGCCGTTCCCAGCTCCACCCCCCTCTACCACGACGCCATCAAAACCATCGCCACCTCCGATGATGAAATGCTCCCCGATCGGCCGCTCCTGTCTGGAGTCAGTATCGGAGGTATGGAACTGGTATTCAATTCAATTCAATTCAGTTTTATTTATTTTATTTACAGTGGGGGAAATAAGTATTTGAGCCCTTGCTGATTTTGCAGGTTTGCCCACTTACAAAGAATGCAACGATCTATAACTTTAATCATATGTACATTCTAACAGTGAGAGACAGAATCCCAAAGAAAATTCCAGAAAATCACATCATATCAATTTATAAAAATTGATAACCATCTGATGAGGAAAAATAAGCATTCTTTGTAAGTGGGAAAACCTGCAAAATCAGCAAGGGGTCAAATACTTATTTCCCCCACTGTAGATAGCAACAAATCATATCAACAGGAATCTCCCAGCTTTCCAACCAGAGCAGCTCAGATTCTGAGTTATTTAGAGGAGAACAACAGTTCCACCAAGAGCAGCACTAGGAGACACAGGGAGGAAACAACTGCCTTTAGGGGGAAGAGAGGGAGAGGGCAAGATAGAGAGAGAGAGAGAGAGAGAGAGAGAGAGGGAGAGAAGGACAAAAGAGAGAGAGGAGGCAAGAGAGAGGGAGAGAAAGAGAGACTGGATGAAAAACAAAAACAGTTACACCAAAAGCAGCACTAGGAGACACAGGGAGGAAACAACTGCCTTTAGGGGGGAAGAAACCTGG